AAATGTTCAAATGTTAACGCACATCGCACGACGACGGACAAAAACGGATAGCAATGACAGACGATAAGAAAAATATATTCCATAGAACTTGTTAAATCACTTTATGCTTGTTGGGCAAAATGTTTCTAAGGTACGTAACTGAATATTATATATTAAGAAGATTGTTGTCGTATTTTTTAATTGGCTGAAGGCAAGTCATGTGATTTTCGTCCATTTCTGATATTAATGAAACTCAATGTGAATACACAGGTCACGTGCTACCCAGTGTTTGACCTTAAAAACCGAGGCCCCGTGTCACGGTAGGTGTCGGCACGATAAAGATCCCTCACTGCTCAATGGCCCTGAGTGCCGAGTAAAGGTCAAAATTTGAAGCCCTTCACCGGTATATGGTGACGTCTCTATATGAGTGAAAAATTCTCGAATGGGACGTAATACAACAAACAATCAATTTCTCTCTCTCTCTCTCTCTCTCTCTATATATATATCTATTAATATACGTCACACATTGTGACATCGTAATATAAAATGCAATCAACCGTGTATTTACTATCATGATATCATGACAGTCAATCAAGTATGTTGTGTATCAATTGCATGTACAGCTAGGACTGTGTCAAATTATTCGTTTCAAGCACAGGCACTTGGGGTATGGACCTACCCACCCACCCCTTTCCATTTTTTTTTTTCTTTTTAAATCTGGGGTCGAGTCATCTTTTTTCCTATTTTTGTATTCTAAAATGCACTATATGTTATCGATAATGTAACCCTTTTGTCTCTATTTAAGCTGTTTTTAAATATATCGTTTTCGACTGTGTTGATACATAAAAAGAGCGAAGGCTTGCAACTCTTTTCTCGTCGTCTGCCTCTCCTCGCTTAAACTTCGCGTGATTATTTATCTAAAGCATAAGAAAACATGGAATATGCATACAATATCAATAAATTTGTTATAATCCTTCCTTTTCATATTTCCATTTAATTTTTATGTGCTCCCGATTTGTAAATATTTCGATTAAATCATCCGCATCCAGGGTAAATTTTGTTGGTGTGCACCAGACGACGAGAAAAGAGTTGCAAGCCTTCTCTCTTTTTATGTATCAGTCGAAAACAATATAGTTAACCAGAAGTCTCTGATGAGACTGTAGCTCTACTGGTTTGTACTTATAACAAAGGAAAAGAAAAGTAGCAATTAGACTTGAAACTTTGCAACAACAATAAATAGAGCAATGATCCTTGGTTAAATCTCTTTTTAAGCAAGAACTTTGCAACAACAATAAATAGAGTAATGATCCTTGTTTAAGTCTCTTTTTAGCCAGATTTATCCAATCAGACTAAAACTGTAGGAGCAGTAACCTTTTAAAAGATTTTCACAGAATTTTTGATTTTAGTAACCATGGCAACATCATTCACTTAAATCAAAAAACTGATAAAGACAATTATGTATCTCAGTGTAATCTATTTGCATGCCAACTTACATTGAAATTAAAGCAAAACTATAGAAGGAGTAGTATTTTGAATGTATTTCACAGAAATTTGCATTTTTAGTAGCTTTGGCAACACTTCACTAAAAACCGATAAAAAGAATCTCAGTGTAGTCTACTTGTGTGCCAAGTAATATTGAAATCAGACCAAAACTATAGGAGGAGTAGTGTTTTAAAGGAATTTCAAAGAAATTTCTATTTTTAGTAACCATGGCACCAAAGTTCATCGAAATCAAAAACCGATGCACTGAATAATGTATCTTAGTGTATTCTACTTGTGTGCCAAGTTATATTGAAATCAAACAAAAACTGTAGGAGGAGTTTTAAAGGAAATTCACAGAAATTTCGATTTTTTTGAAACTATGACAACACCGTTCAACAAAAACTGATGCACTAAGTTATGTATCTTAGTGTAGTGTACTTGTGTGCCAAGTTATATTGAAATCAGACCAAAACTGTAGGTGGAGTTGCAGTTTGAAAAATTGTTTACAGACAGACAGACGGATGGACGGCGGACAGCTTACTATCGTCCCTGACCAGTAGAGCTAAAAACAGCTTATAGAGACCAAAGGGTTACATTATCGATAACATATAGTGCATATTAGAATACAAAAATAGGAAAAAGGTGACTCGACCCCGGATAAAAAAGAAAAAAAAATGGAAAAGGGGGATGGGTCCATACCTCAAGTGCCTGTGGTTTCAAGTGATTACATAACATGATTAATTCTGGACTTCACTGAATGGTCATTATGTTAGGACTGTCACGAGTCACCGGAAACGGCGAAACAAGTTGTTTGGTTCGGTTTCGGTTCGTTTTTTTAGGTCACCTGAGTCACTCAGGTGACCTATTGCTATCCGTTCTCGTCCGTCGGCGTGCGGTGTGCGTCGTGTGTTAACATTTGAACATTTTTAGCTTCTTCTCTGAAACCGCTCAACCAATTTCAACCAAATTTGGCATATAGCATTTATGGGTGAAGGGGAACAAAAATTGTGAATTCTATGGTCCCTGCCCCCCTGGGGCCTGAGGGGTGGGGCTAAAACCACCAAAAATAATGCAATCTTTAAAAATCTTCTTCTTTGCTCCTGGACATCAAGCAGTCAAACTGTTGGCATCATTGTAATGAGCATTGAGTCCTCTACCAAAATTGTGAAATTCATGGCCCCAGGGTCAGGGGTTCTGGTGCTAGGGTGGGGCTATATAGATAATATAGTGAAAGTGCATTAATTCTTTGAAAATCTTCTTCTCTGCTCCTGGGTATTAAATAAATTAACTAAGTATATAGTTATGATGAGCAAGAGTGCCTCTTTCTAAATTGTGAATTTCATGGCCCCTGGGTCAGGGGTTCTGGTGTTAGGGCGGGGCTCTATTGATTATATGGTGAAAATGTATTAATTCTTTGAAAATCTTCTTCTCTGCTCCTGGGTATTAAATAAAATAACTTAGTACATAGTTATGATGAGCAAGAGTGCCTCTTCCAAAATTGTGAATTTCATGGCCCCAGGGTCAGGGGTTCTGGTGTTACGACAGGGCTTTATTGATTATATAGTGAAAATGTTATTAATTCTTTGAAAATCTTCTTCTCTGCTCCTGGATATAAAATGAACCAAGTTAGTACATAGTTATGATGAGCAAGAGTGCCTCTTCTGAAATTATGAATTTCATGGCCCCAGGGTCAAGGGTTCTGGTGTTAGGGCGGGGCTCTATTGGTTATATAGTGAAAAGGCATTAATTCTTTGAAAATCTTCTTCTCTGCTCCTGGGTATTAGATAAACTAACTTAGTATATAGTTATGATTAGCAAGAGTACCTCTTTCAAAATTTTGAATTTCATGGCCCCAGGGTCAGGGGTTCTGGTGTTAGGGCGGGGCTCTATTGATTATGTAGTAGAATTGCAATAATTTTCTCTGCTCCTGGGTATTAAGTACATAGTTATGAAGAACAAGAGTGCCTCTTTCAAAATTGTGAATTTCATGGCCCCAGGGTCAGGGGTTCTGGTGTTAGGGTGGGGCTCTTTTGATTATATAGTTAAAATGCATTAATTCTTTGAAAATCTTCTCTGCTCCTGGGCATTAAATAAAGTAACTTAGTACATAGTTATGATGAGCAAGAGTGCCTCTTCCAAAATTGTGAATTTGATGGCCCCTGGGTCAGGGGTTCTGGTGTTAGGGCAGGGCTCTATTGATTATATAGTAGAATTGCATTAATTCTTTGAAAATCTTTTTCTCTGCTCCTGAGTATTAAATAAACTAACTAAGAACATAGTTATGGTGAGCATGACTGCCTTTTCAGAAATTATTTCATGGCCCTTGGGTCAGGGGTTCTGGTGTTAGGGATGGGATCCATTGATTATATAGTAAAATTGCATTGATTCTTTGAAAATCTTCTCTGCTACTGGATATTAAATAAACTAAGTACATAGTTATGATGAGCATGGCTGCCTCAGAAATTATGAATTTAATGGCCTCTGGGTCAGGGGTTCTGGTGTTAGGGCGGGGCTCTATTGATTATATAGGGAATAGGCATGAATTCTTTCAAAATCTTCTGTGCGCCTGGGTATTTTTCAAACAAAGGAAGTGCATGGTTATGATAAGGAAGAATGCCTCATGGCCCTTGGGTCAGGGGTTCTGGTGAGGGGGAAAGAGCTCTATTGATTATATAAAGTGAAAATGCATAATTTCTTTTAAAATATTTTTTCTACTACTGGTGATAAAGTAAAGAAACAAGTGTATAGTTATAATGAGAAAGGGTGCTTCTTCCAGAATTGTGAGTTCGTGGCCAATGGGTCAGATGTTCTGGGTAAGGATAGGGCTTTATTTATTTAATAATATGGTGAAAATGCATTTCTATGAAAATCTTCTATGCTTCTGGGGATGTTCAAGGCAAACAGAGTAAAAGTTTTAATATGCAAGGGTATTTTTACCAGAATTTTGAACACCTGGACCATTTAGTCAAGTGTTCTAGTCCTGGCCAGGGCTCTATTAACTTGTATTCTGCTGAGCAAAGTTATTCCCCTTTGCCATTCACCTTTGATAATTAATCAATGTAAATAATGTATTTGAAAGCTTAATAGAATAAGAGAATTATGCAAGATAATTTATTGTATAATGAAAAAATATTTTCATAGATTTAATGACTTGGAAAGTCAGATAGGCAGGTAGATACTAGACCAATTATTTTGTTGATGCTAATCATACTATTTTTCTTGCTTTTGGGCAACAAAGCTTCATTTTTCAGTTTATGGATCCTCTAAATTGTTGTATTGTACTCAGGTGACCGGTAAGGCCCTTGGGCCTCTTGTTCTGATTTCGGTTCGGTTTCGATTTGTATAATAGAAACCGTATTGTTGAAAAATGAGATGGAAATCGAACGTATGGAAATATTGACTTTCTAAGTAATAAAGGTGTCAAAAACAAATCAATAACGGTATGTACAATATGTATGTCACACTTGAAATATTCTACCGGTTTCACTTCATCTATGACAAAACATTTGAAAAGAAAACACGGGATAAATATCGAAACGATGAAGAAAGGAAATAGTGGACCTAGCAGTAGCCGATCTACCACTGATGTAAAGTCTCAATCAGGAACATGACAGAATCAAAGTCCGCTAGTACAAGTACAGGACAACTGAGACTACAATTAAAGATATGCGTTCATTTTCCGTCTTAGAAAACCGTGGTTTATTGGTTTTGTGAATCTTGTGCACGAGCTAATGAACCAAAGTATGACATAGCATGCAGGACTCACTTCTCTGAAAAAGTTATACCCAAGTTATATGAGGACACGAAGTCTGGAGTATCTGCAGGTTTAAAAGAAGCAAGTTTCATTGCATTAACTTCTGACTCCTGGACTTCTAGGGCAACACAAAGTTATTAACACTGTGACAGCCCATTTTATTCATGGCTGGAAAATGAATTCATTTGTGCTTCAAACAAGAGCTGTGGATGAAGTGTATACTGAAGAAAACTTATCAGAATTCCTTATGCATATTGTTGCAGTGTAGGACTTGCAACGAAATAGACAGTTGCCTTCACTAGTGACAGACCGTCACGGTAGTTCAGTCGATAGAGCGCTCGCTCCTGATCGGAAGGTCGTGAGTTCGAACCTCGGCCGCGACAGACCTAAGTCGATAAAAAATAGGTAGCAACTTTCCTTCGCCATGCGCTCGGCACTTTGAAGTGAAAGTTGCGGGTCCTTCGGATGAGACCTTAAGAACCGAGGCTCCGTGTTACGGCAGGCGTTGGCACGATCAAGATCCCTCACTGCTCAATGGCGCCGAGTGCCTAGTAAAGGAATAAATTTGAAGCCCTCCACCGGTATATGGTGACGTCTCTGAGTGAAATATTCTCGAATGGGACGTAAAAGAATATACAATCAAACAATCACTAGTGAAAGACAATGCCCGAAATATTCTAAATGCAGGTATAATTGCAGATATTTATCCCCATGTTGGGTGCTTTGCTCATGTGATAAACCTCGCTACTCAGAGAGGATTTAAGGATGCTCAAGTGGACAGATTACTCGGAATTATTAGACGAATTGTGACGTTTTTTCCCACAAAAGTTCTACTTCTATGGCTGTACTGAAAAACAAGCAAACTCTTCTGGAACTGCCAAACCATAAACTTATAGGTGATGTCTCAGCTCGTTGGAACTCAACTTATGACATGTTAAACCGTTATTTTGAACAAAGAATAGCGACATAACCTACATTGATGTCCAAGGACATTATTAAGAGAAATGAATATGAAGTTTACATCCATCAATGATGACGTTGCTTCAGTTGAAAAGATTCTATAGGTTCTAAAGCCATTAATATCTGTTACAATCTTGTTGTCACCCAGTTTCTTTAATACACTCCCTTAAGGAAATGTTGATGCAACAGATTCATATGTCTGAAAATGATGACTCTCTTGTTTCAGCTGTTAAGACTGCCATTCTCCAAGATCTTAGACCGAGGTAGGGATGATTTGTAAATTATATTACTGAATTGTCAGCTTGTTTATTTAGTTTTAAGAAAAATTCTTTTATCCAAGTTGATAAAGTGATACAGATTTTTTTCTAATATTCATTTTTGTATAGAATGGTATATTTTTGAAAATTAATGATGAAAAATGTATAATGATAATTTATTAAATTTGGTTTTAGATACATAGATCCCGAGATCCTGCTTTTCCTGAGGGAAAGTTCATGCTTAGATCCAGGATTTAAAGTTAGGCCATTCATCACTGAGGATGATAGGCAGGATTTGTTCACTTCCAAAGTTCAGAAGGTTCAACACCTGCAAAATACAGTCAAAGTATGTCACCCACATAAATATACTATAGTAATTTCAAAAACAATTTTAACAAATATATAAGTGAATACTGGATAGCAATAGGTAAATAAATAGTCAATACATAGAGGACCAAATAAATAATTTAAGAAGTAACAAATTTTGTTTTGGTTATTTCTATTGAATTAAAATTAAAGTTGATATCTGATTAATACATAATTGCTAGGTAAATGAAATCAGATAACTCATTGGTTAATGATCTGCCAGCTCTTCCAACCATACCTAATCTACCAGTTCAACCTGCTGAAGGAAGTATAAGGGCAGATAAACCTACATCCTGCTCTTTAGCCGACACAGACGAGCCTCCAACACAGAAAACGGCATTGGGTGATATCTTTGGAGATGTTTTTTGTTACGAGGGTTGAACTTGCAGACATATATTAAAAAGCAGAGCCCCCCCCCCCCCCCCCCCACGGAGTGTGATTTTTATTTTTTTTTCTAGTCGATAATCCCCCACACATGTAATCAAGAAACTGAGCATTATGTTGATGTTTGTTATTGAAAGTTAAAAAATTGGTAATTTAAAAAAAATAAGTTTAAATAATGAATTTTTAGTGTAAAATAAACTCGAACCGAAAAATTGCCGAACCTACCGAAAATGTTTGGAACCGTGAAAGCCCTACAATATGTAGTTATACGGACTGCAATGTGTTAATTTAACACACAATAGAATAAATTCAAGTGATTCGCAAGCTCGATCGCTATCACTTTAATTTTGCGTCTTCGGGCAATATTACTTAAATGGGTCCTTTTTACCACATATGGACCTGCACTGAAATCCATGATTATGTACTGTATCACCTCTTTTTTAATCAATGGAGTCGGTTGTAAAAAAAAAATAAATAACTTTCGCCAATTAAGAGTGATTGTTATAATGATGTATAGAAAGTTCCAATACGTACTGGGACTCTACTGATTTCTGCTTTTTCCTAGCCATAGTGCTTAGGTGAGCGATGTGGCCCATGGGCCTTTTGTTTTGTATTTTCCAGCACTTTTTAAAGTTGCTTTACCTAAAAAATCAATCCTTGGTATATATTATGTTTTCTTGCATTTTAATGACGTACATATATGTTTTTAATAACACCCCCAAACCATTAGAAATGGTACTTAACATCTTGTGTTCAAATAGGTATCTATACTAAATATCGTCTGTGGTCACCTTGTATATCTTTGGCATTTGTCTAAGACGTTTGGTCTCCACAAATTCTTCACAATACTACCTTTTTCCCTATAAAACTGAAAATTTTGATATAAAAAAGCAGAGGTAGAAAAATCTTCATGCACCTAATCATATGTCACAACCGCTTTTTAACTGTAATTTAACATTCAAGTAGGGTAAATGTGTGCTTATAGATTTTTTTATCAAGAATTTTTCCATTTTGCATTTATTTTGTAGGGAGACATGATGGCTTTTGGTGATTGCATAGTAGTACTTCTCTTTACGATAACCTGTATTCATGCGGAATCACGATGCATACCGAATGCCGATTGCTTTTATACGTTTGAGACAGCCCCCACCGCTGATTGCTCATCACTAAATCTTCAACTTCCTCCTTGTTTCGATAGTTCTTCAAATATAACTCACGTAAACCTGAGGAAAAATAGCTTGACAAGAATTCCAATCAATTTACCACCGACACTGGAATATCTTGATTTATCACATAATAGAGTTACTTTAGGTGATTCGCCAGTGTTACATACCATATATAGACGATTAAAATACCTCAATTTAGACAGCAATAGAATTAAAAATCTTACTTCCTTATTTGTGATATCGAACATGTCAAATTTAGAATTCTTGTCTCTCAAAGACAATAGTTATAGCAGGTACACCAAATATCCAAACAACTGCCTTCGTGGATTAGAATCATTATTTCATCTCAGAATTGATGGAGTTGGAGAGGGAAACTTTGGAGACATATTTTTAGAAGATAAAATTGGCTTAAAATTATTGGATGCATCTGGCAACTACGGTGTGTGCGACATTTCTCACTTGAGGCCGAATATTTTGAAAAAATTCAATTTAACATATCTTGATTTATCCTTTTGTAATATCAAATCTATTGAAATCGGGGTTCTTGATACTCAAACATTCATGCAATACTTAAATGTTTCACACAATCCATACCTCGGTTTTAGAGGGCTTGCAAATATCTCTAAAGACCTTCAGAGTAGTGCGATCAAAGTACTTAAATTCAACAAAATACACTGTACTTTTGGACTAGGCACTATCCTGCTACTTAACCACACAAATTATCTTCAAAATACAACACTAGAAGAATTATACCTGGACAGCAATAGGTTGGAAATAATAGAGAGTGGAGTATTACCAATTTTACCCAAAACACTGAAGCTTTTGTCTGTCGCAGACAACAAAGTAGATAATGGCCTGTATGTTTTACAAGCGGGATCAATGCCAAATCTGGAGATTTTGAATGTTAGTTTCCAAATACATTCTCATACCACGTATTTCGATGGTTGCTATGATTACTCGGATTCCTGTCATATTGATCCAGAAGTTGCTCTTAAATTCCATAACTGGAGTCAACAACTAGGATATGTTGTCACATTTTACTTACCAGTGAAGCTAAAGAGGCTCTACGCAAACAATATGAAATTTCAATATCATATTGGAGAATTGCATTTCAACAACTGTAATTTGGAGTTTGCACATTTTCAAAACAATTATTTTGTTCAAATTCATGGTCCAGTATTTGGTTGTGAAAATGCCAGATACATAGATTTATCGAACAACTTTTGTTCATACATTTCAGCTCAAGCGTTGAAATTTTTACCAAATTTAAATATTTTGAATATTTCACAGAATCATCTCGGTAACAACTTGGAAAAGGATATAAACGGTGAAATATTCGGAAATAATAGAAACTTAAGACTCTTGAATTTACACGATAATAAAATATATGTTTTACCAGAAAACCTTTTAAAAAATAACTCAAATATACAAATACTCAATATTTCATACAATAGAATGGAGAAATGGACAGTAGATATACGTCATATGTTTCAACTTCAACTTCTTGACCTATCATACAATCTCTTGACTGAACTAGACGAAACAGCTGTTAATTTATTGCCACAGCATAATAATTTTACAATCAACCTTTTAGGAAACCCCTTGGTCTGTTCGTGTGCAAGTCAGTCCTTTTTTGAATGGTTAAATCTACACCATCACGCTAGATTTATGTATTTGCAAAACACAACATGTTCTTACATGGATGGTTCTCAACTTTCTCTTCGCGATATATCCGATATTGTGAAGATGCTACAAAAGAATTGTTCATCATACACTCCACTTATAATTGTGACATCATCATTTATTTTCTTCTTCTTAAGCGTAACAATTTATAGAATCATCTATCGCTACCGATGGACGATTTTCTACATCTACTACCTCACAAAGCGATATGTTTTTCCGAAGGTCAAACAATCGCAGAGAAAGGTTTTCTACGAATACGATGCCTTTATCTCCTATGCAGAAAAAGACAGAAGCTTTGTTTTTAATCAAATAAGATTAATGGAGAATGGTGAAATGAAGTTCTGCATCCATGACCGTGATTTCATTCCAGGAATTGATATCGCTGAAAACATCACGAACTCTATTCACAACAGCAGACGAATAGTATTTGTAATGACGTCACATTTTTTGAAATCTTATTGGTGTATGTTCGAGTTAAATATGGCGCGAATGGAGAGCATCTACTCCCGAGGGGGAGAGAACATTCTTTTGTTAGTTTTATTGGAAAACCACATCGTTCGAGAAATGCCAATGTCTCTCCTTCACGTCATTGAAAGTCAATCATATCTAGAGTACCCAGATGGAGATAATTTTGGAAATATAGACATTTTTTGGAGAAATTTTAAAGATGCCATTAGAGATAACCAATAATTTAGTATAGTAGAATAGTTTCAGCCCACTTGGGCCAAGGCTCAAGTAAGCTTTTCTGGTCTAAGATTGTCTGGTGTCCCACTGTCTGGCGTGTGCCGTGCGTCGTCTACGTTATTTTCACATTTCCAACTTCTCCAGAACCACGAAGCCAATTTCAAGCCAGTCTTGCCAACAAAATGAGACTTTGGTGAAGAGAAGTCAGGTTTTTTAAAGGAAGAGGTTTTAAATAATTGCTTAAGCATAGTATGGGACTCAGGTGAGCGGTGTGGCCCGTGGGCCTTTGTTTAGCCTAGGAGGAGAAAGGGAGTAAGAATATACAATCACAAAAGGTGAATGATTCCTGTTTGTTTTATGAATTTCAGTAGAATTACAGTAACATATATCATCTGTATCAATGCAAATAGAACAAAATATACACGTATTTGCTTCCCTGATTATTACGGGGAGTAACTAGTCTTCGTGTATTGACTTTTTACGTTGAATAAAGCGTACAACAAGATGGCGTTGTTCTTCTTGCAACATCAGAAATAAGATTTACTTTTTTTTATCATGAAACTAGATATCAGGTCACAGAATTAAATAAAATTGCTTGAACAAGGAATATGTAATTTCTCTAAAACTGAATGAATTGACTAGTCAGATTTTATGGGTTGAACACAATTCCTGTGTACAATTAACTAAAATATATTTTGTAATTTTGAACAAAAACATTAAAATTGACTATCCATCTTATTCTCCACCGATATAACATATATGTTCACTCAATCAACTATCCAGAACCTTGATTAACAATTTCTTTTTCATATAAATATTGGAACAAAACATTCGACTTCATATGTGTACTTTCAGTTTTTGAAAAAAAAAATCAAAACGTTTTCATGCTTTACTAGCCATGATTAAATACCCAAACCTATTATAACTTTCAGTAATTTGAATTACACTGTACATACATATCTGAATTGAAATCGTTTATCCTTTCAGCATTTCAAAAAATGAAATACTGTACAAATTTGTGAAAAATTTGTAATGACTGTATGTAGATCTTTGCATCAATTGATTAATGAAGTGAAGCATTTTTACATCTAGAACCAATCCTGTGGAAAATTTGTCATTAGGTTAAGTGAGTTGTAAACTTTTACTGAATTCACAAATGTAGAATTCTTCACCTTTACTCGTATGCTTAATAGCAAGTTAACTATTTTCACGTTCATACCAGTATATCAAGTTTACTTACATTTATGTCATTCAGTATACCTACATATACAGTACACTTCTTAAAGAAGGTTCGAATATATATTGCTGAAATCCCAGTCCGTCTGTCCATCTTTCACGTTATCTTCTTCCTCAAACTCGTCTTACATTTTAACATCAATTCTCTGTAAGGACCAAAAATGCTTGGCCACGCACTATCATGGAATTTTATTTTATCACTATAATATGAGTGCCCTATATAAAGACTATTGGTGGATAAATTTTGGACAGTATCTCCTTGGTTTCCATAGCAACGACTTTGAAATTATTTTGTTATGGCAAAACTGAGCTGATTGTCATCACCATGTAAAATAATTCCGTGTTTCCTTAATGTAGGAAAGTTATGATCATAACATGGGTTTCATTTTGTAGCTAAGTAATCAAAGTTTCTGTGCATCTAAATTTTACTAAATTTAACCCAAGGTTTTTTAATATGATACAGATCAATTTACATGAATTTGTCTTAAAAATAAATACAAAGGTGCCTATTTCTTGATATGCATAAATTTTTGCAGGCATTTGAAACTTAGAAAAAAGATCTTTTTAGTAAGATCGAGCTTAGTTCTAAAAGATGCAAAATGATTTGAGGTGGGGAAATCAGTTAAAAGTCATATTCCAATCCCCTCAAATTATAACTATTCCTAAATATTAATCTGGAGTTATTTCCCTTTGCTGGCTCTTTTGCACTGAAGACCAAAAAATTAAACTGGTGTTATTTCCCTTTGTTGACTCTCCTGTATTAAAGAAGTTTATAACAAGATATGACAAAAACATACGCCAGGAAAATAAACATGAAACAATAACAGAAAAATGAAAAATTCTCTTTGCGAAATATTGAAACAAAATTTATGAAAACTGACTTGCATTCCCATCATGTGAGATTCCATGTACTCTAAAACCCATGAGAAAAATGCAAGATGCAATTTGAGGAAGATACGACAGTCAGTTGGAATGATTCTACCCTAGGCACAGGTATAAATTTTAATGTTTTCAAATATTCATTTTTTATAAAAACTACATGTAAGAAGCTTTTTCAAGTAAATTGACATAACGTTTAAATTTTCTTATATATATATATATATATATATATATATATATATATATATATATATATATATATATATCTATCTATATCTATCTATATCTATATATATATATATATATATATATATATATATATATATATATATATAAAATACACTTAATTGGTCTATATTCAAAAATCACCATGTTAGCAATACATTCCAGATATATATCTTATTAATATATTTGCATTAAAGGAATTTGTACGGCCTCATGCGTCTTCCGGGACACAGAGAGGATAAGTAAGTAACTAATAGGAATTTGTGCTTGCTTCAAAAAGCAACTTACTTTAATTGGCAAGTCATAACTACAAAGTTCATCAAAAGGAGGAGAATGTTTTAGAAGATGCAAGTTTGAATGTAATGAAAAATATACACATGGCAATATAGAATATATATATATATTTGGTAATGTACAGTTCTTTAGAGACGACGCAGGGTTCGAAGCATCAAAAATCACATCAGGTATACTTTGCCTGGCAATCCATAAAATTTGCCCTATTTTAGATTGAAGGATTTCTTTTTCCATTGGAGTGAGCTGTAATTCCATGTCAGTGAGACGATTCTTGTCTATGGGAATGAATTGTAGATTGTTTTGATACTTTTTCTGACTAAGCTTAATGGTTTCTTTGTGTTTTGACAGTTCTATTTCAACATATAGAAAAGAGCCATTTTCTTCATGATCTTCTTTTCCCACATAGAATGTTGATCTTCTTTGATTCATTACAGTGTTTTCAAATTCACTGGATCCTCCCCAGAAAGTCATCAACATGGCATGCTAACACTCCTTCTACTCTCCTCTCTTTATTCTTCCAGAAAAGGATGGCTGGATCGACTCTCGAAACTTCAACACCACTCATACTCAAAACATCTTTGATCCTTTTACACCAGTTGAGAGATGCATCGTAAAGTCTATATACATATTTCCGTAGCTGCCATATGATACCAGGGCAATCGGCTTCAGGGGGTGGTCTCACATATATCTCTCTTTCAATTTCTGACCCTTGTGAAAAAAAACAGTTTTGATGTCCATAGTATGCACATTCCAATTCCTCTGTGATATTATAGCTAGTACTAGTCGGAGGGAATCTGAACCACAGGTTGGTGAACCCTAAGGTATGTCAACCTTGTCTGCCTCTTCAAAACCTCTTGCCATTAGTTTTGCTTTCTGTATTGTCCCTTCTGCTGTATCCTTCAAACTACAAATCCATTTTGTTGAGATGCACTACTGTCCATTGTCTTTTCTTTCAATGTACACATTATAAGTTTGCCATGAGGCAAGCTCTTTCTCTTTAGCTTCTTTGAATATCACATCTGTAAGAACCATTACATTGTCCTGTTGTGTAATCTCATTGTTCTCTTCTGCACACTGAATGTCTGTTTCTGATGTTTCCAGTTCCTGTTCTTTACTGTCTCAGATCAACAGAAATTTCTGCATCCTTTTGAGACTCAGGTTCCATGAATTGCAAAGTGAACCAGTTCTGTTCGTTCCTGTTGCTTTGCCTGCACGTCCAAGTACCTTTGCTACACATTTTTCACCACTCTCTGCATTTTTATACTTTACAATTTGACCCTTTGAAATTTTTATTGTGTCACTGCAGTCATTTCTAACGCAATTTTTGTCTATTTCATCTGCATCACTGCAAGCAGAGTCTTCACTTTTAACGTGACTGTCGGGAGGTCATGAGTTCGAATCTCGGCCGCGACAGACCTAAGTCGATAAAAAAAAGGGTAGTAACTGTTCCTTCGCCATGCGCTCGGCACTTTGAAGTGAAAGTTGCGGGTCCTTCGGATGAGACCTTAAAAACCGAGGCCCGTGTCACGGCTGGCGTTGACACGATAAAGATCCCTCACTGCTCAATGGCCCTAGGTGTCGAGTATAGGTGAAAATTTGAAGCCCTTCACCGGTGTATGGTGACGTCTCTATATAAGTGAAACATTCTCGAATGAGACGTAAAACAACATACAACCAACCAAATCTGTGATTGGCTTTCCTGGACATCATTAAAAACTGACTCGCTATCACTTCTGTCTGTAGACTGTCTGTTGACACGACAAAGATCCCTCACTGCTCAATGGCCCTAGGTGTCGAGTATAGGTGAAAATCTGAAGCCCTTCACCGGTGTATGGTGACGTCTCTATATAAGTGAAAAATTCTCGAATGAGACGTAAAACAACATACAACCAACCAAATCTGTGATTGGCTTTCCTGGACATCATTAGAAAGTGACTCGCTATCACTTCTGTCTGTAGAAACTTTTGTCAGTCTACATTGGTGCACTCACACATATTCCTCCGTGTCTGACATAAACTACTGCGACGTCTTGTCCAATTACCACGCCTGGTCCCTTCCATTCCCTGCTATCTGGTCTCTTATAAAATACTTTGTCTCCAGTCTTGAAAGTGTTTCCACTAGGACTAATCTGTTTTCTTAAGGCTCTTCGAATCCTCTCTGAACACTCTTTGTAAATGCAGTTCTGGCCGTCCCCTCAAGGGCTGGTACCTTGTCCGTCAAAACACTAGGAAGACGTGGATTACTTCCAAACACAACTGGTGAGAGCTGAATCATATACATTGCTTAAAGCATTCTTTGCCATAAGCGCCCAGCTAAGAGCTGTGTCCCAATCACAGCGGTTGTCTGCTTTTACTTTATGTAAAATTTCTGTAAGTGT